AATAATAATAATAATAATTAGCTAAATTTGGCAGTACATCCAACCATCCTCACAACCGCACAAGTCAGTTAAGATGACAAACTGCTGTTGGGTCAAGACCCTGGTGAGCATGATGAACATGTCGATGAGCTTCCCTGACATGGTTTCTGACAGTTTGTGCAGAAGTTCTTAAGTAGTGAAAATTTGTTGCATCATCAGGGTGGATGGTCTCAGATGATCCAGATGAAGACACTGGATGTGGAGGTCCTGAGCTGGTGTGGCTACATGTGGTCTGCAGTTGTAAGGCTGGTTGGATGTACTGCCAAATTCAGGGAAACAACCTTGAAGACAGCTTATGGTCGAGAAATGTACATTTAGTTGAAGGGTAGCACCTCTGGTGGACATTCCTGCAGTCAGCATGATAAATGGCACACTCCCTAAAACTTACAACATCTGTGTCATTGTGTTGTGTGCTCAAACTGCACATTTTATTGTGACCATCCCAAGGTACCTGTGTCGTAATGATGCTATTAAATCAGTATCTTGATATGTCACATCTGTCAGCAGGATGGATTAATTTGGAAGAGAAGTGCTCACTGACACAGATTTTAACAAATTTGTGACCAACATATTAGAGAATTAGGCCTACATTTATTTAATGCATTAAAAAGAAGTCTTAGATATTTAACTTAAATATATAATATAAACATAACAAGAAACATTTACAGAAAATTATAAATAAAACAAATCACAGCCATCCAGCATGTCTCTTTTCAAAAGGAGAGTTAACAAGACTGGCTGAATATTACATTGTCAGTCAATGCCACAGATTATAAGAAGATGGTAGAATACAAGATAGTTTACCAAATTCACTATCCCACAAATATGAATGAAAAAAGCAGCAGATTGTTTGCATATCTAATTTATTGAGAACAGAACAGTTTGTCGGGGTCTGCCTTATCATGTATCTTTTTTAAATTCTGTTTAGGGCGTCAGTGAGGGACTTTTGCATCGCTAAAATTTTTCAGAATAGAAAAGTCACACAGAGTTGTCAAGCTGTCAGTGAGTCTCTTTTCATGTTCTCTAGCTCAGTGGTTCCCAACTGGTGGGTCATGGTCCAAAAGTGGGCATAAGGTCCATTTTGAATGGACCGCAAGTGACTCGTAAATGCGTCAAGTTTGTAACAGACACACTTTATTTTTAAGTACAGTGATTTCCCGCACAGAGCTTTTATTTCCGCAAAGCCCTCTGAGTCGTAGGTATGCAGAAGCATAAATCTTGCTTCAGTGACAACCTGACAGAGACTAGCTCAACAACATGGCCAAACGCAAGTATGACGCTGAACATTTTAAAAAGTGCGTGGACCTTGACCTATGCTGTACAATAAAACTAAACACAATTTAAACACAAGAATGACAAAACAAATAAAATGTCATAACATGAAATCTAGTAAAAGATGAAATAAGGAAGGCAAAAGCTAAAAACAAGATAATAAATGGGCATTAAAATCTGGACCCTGTGGCTGGACCAACTGGAATCTGCTCTAGCTTATAATTGACCTGTTGCCGTCAAACAAGAGTTTCTAACAAGCCAGCAGTATGATGGCAAAGAGGCCCTAATCTGTGCTGCCTAATTATTTTCTTTAATTTGAGGTCATTTGCAAAAGCTGACTTATTGGTGTTGGAATGTTTAAAGCTGTGTT